ACCCCACCCCGGGAGCCCAGCGGGTGATATCCCCGCCTCACTGGTGTTCTCCAGGGACCCGGGATCTGCAGGGCTGAGGTTGACAGGTGGGAGCAGGTGGAGAGGCCAGGGCACCCCCAGAGCGTGGCTGGGGCAGCAGCCCTGGGGCGCTCCACATACAGCAGCCCCTGATCCCAGCTCTGCTCTCTCCATACGACAGAGGGACACAGGCACAGGGGCTGACACGACGCCACAGACTGGACACTCTCAGGCCCCCAAGCTGTGCTGCAGACCTGTCCACAAAGAAGCTGGGCCCCTCCAGTCAGGCTGCAGCCCCCGCTTGTCTTTAAATCAAGGGCAGCAGAGACGCCACAGGAGTTTCTGGGACAGGCGCAGCACCGCTGGCACCTGCAGTGAGCTAGCTGTCCACTCCCGAGCCAGGATGGGCCAGGTGACCCCTGGGAAGTCTCTGGACTGGCCGAGACACCACCAGCCCTGGGAGGAAAAAGCCTCTTGGAAAGATGGGCCGCCGAGGATCCCCAATCGGTGGCCTGCACACCCCGGGAGAGGGTCCGAAAACCCCTTCATCTGGGCTGAGGCACCACGGCCTCTGTTCGGGACAGACCTGCCAAGTGATGTTCAGGGGACTTACACCTAAGCTGTGCACCTGCAATCAGGCATGTGGAAGTCAGAAGCAGCAAGCGCGTGGCCATTACTTCCAGTCGCCAAACAGAGACGATGAGTAATGAGGTGGCTGAGGCATTGGGCTCTGACAGCTCGTTAATGGAAGGGCTGAGCTCTGCTGGGTGCACACACACCGCCTGAGGCAGTGAGCCTCTGGCTGGGAGTACAGATTGGAGACAGGTTTGCGGGAGCCCAGTTTGCCTCGGGTTCCTTGAACACCCACGACGAATTGGTGCCTGGCCCTGGACATGCGAGACAGGACTTGGGGAGAAGCCCTATGGGGTCCTACTCACCGCTGGCCTCCAGAGCGCCGAGCTCAACGCTACGGTAAATGTTTGCAGTGCGTAAAAACTGATCGCAAGCCACCACCTGCCCCCATTGGAAGCAGCAGCAGCTGTCTGTGGGTGACAGAAACTCGCCAGGACTGGCCCCCTGGAGAGGGCTCAGGAGCTGGGCAAGTGTCAGGCGTGAGGGACGTGAGCCAGTGGGGGACAGCGCAAGGCCCCCGTTCCCTGTCTCCTCCAGCACGGGGTGGGTCCACGAGAGCACGCGGGCATCGGCTGAGTCTGGCGTGTTCTCTCCAGCCCCCGGGGAGGGGGTTCACTCCAGGTGGGGGTTCAGGGTCAGAGGTGAGACGGGGCCGGACCAGGGCCCGCCAGCCGCTGGGGGCTTGCAAAGGTCCACACGTTCTGCCTTCCGCCGCATCAGCAGATGTCCGGGAAGGCCCCGGCACTGGGACCCCCCACACACTCAGGTTTGCCTAGAGACTAAGTGTTCTTTCAAAACAGCTTTACCGATCTATAATTCACATGCCATACAATTCACCCATTTAGAGTGAGCGATTCGGTGGTCTTTAGTACATTCACAGCACTGTGCACCCATCACCACAATCTAATTTTTGAACGTGTCTATCACCCCAAGGGAGACCGGTGCCCCTGGCACTCAGCCCCCTTCTCCCCCTCCCCCCACAGCCCTGCACAGCCACTAATCTGTCTTCACGCGTTCCGTGTCCTGGGCTCCGGCGGGAGCAGCATCAGACAGCAGGCCCTCCGTGGCTGGCATCCTTCAGGTCACATCTGTGAAGATCTGCCCGTGTTGCACACGAATCAGTACTCGTCCCTTTCGATGGCCCAGTGGTACCCACTGTATGGATCCAGCATGTTGTGTTTAGCCTTCAGTCCACCGGTGGACATTCGGGTTGGCTCGTGCGGCACCCCATGGCGAACACCGGTGCACGCTTTTGTGTGCACATGTGCTCACCTCTCTTGGGCGCACACCCGGGAGTGGAATCGCTGGGGCATGTGGGAATGCCATGTTCAGCTGCGCGAGGAGTGCCAGACTCTCTTCCAAAGTGGCTGGACTGCGTCATGCCGCGCCAGCTGTGCGTGAGAGCCCCATTTCCTCCACGCCCCCCAACACTCGCTGGGCTCGTTCCAGCCGTCCCGGGGGGAGGGAAACGGTATCTCTTGGTGGTTTCAATTTGCATTTCCCTGATGATTAATAATGTTGAGCATCTTTTCACGGGCTTCTTGGCTGTTCGTGTATCTTTCTCAAAATGTCTATTCCTTTGCCCGTCTTTTAATTGGGGCTTTTAATTGTTGAGTTGTAGGAATCCTTTATATATTCTAGACACAACTCCCTCATCAGATGTATCACTTGCAAATATCTTCTCCCGTCCTCTGGGTCATCCTTTGCTTTCAGATGGTGTCTGTCATAGTTGCTCCAGCCGCTGTAACAAAGGACCACAGACCGTGTGGCTTAAGCGATGGAAACCTATTTTCTCACAGGTCTGGAGGCTGGAAGTCTGAGGTCAAGGTGTCGGCAGGGCTGGGTTCTCCTGAAGCCTCTCTCTGTGGCCTGTAGACACTCTCTTTCCCATGTCCTCCGTATGAGACTGTGCCCTGATCTCCTCTTTTTATAGACACGTCAGTCATGTTGCATTAGGGCCACCCTCGTGACCTCATTGAACTTGAGTCACCTCCTTAATCAAGACTCTATGTCCAGGGGCACCTGGGGGGGCTCAGTCGGTTGAGCGTCCGACTTTGGCTCAGGTCATGGTCTCGTGAGTTCGAGCCCCGTCTGGGTCTCACTGCTATCAGTGCAAATCCTGTTTCCGATCCTCTGTCGCCCTCTCTGCCCCTCCCCCACTCATGCATGCTTTCTCTCTCTCTCTCTCTCTCTCTCAAAAATAGGTAAAACAGGGGCGCCTGGGTGGCGCAGTCGGTTAAGCGTCCGACTTCAGCCAGGTCACGATCTCGCAGTCCGTGAGTTCGAGCCCCGCGTCGGGCTCTGGGCTGATGGCTCAGAGCCTGGAGCCTGTTTCTGATTCTGTGTCTCCCTCTCTCTCTGCCCCTCGCCCGTTCATGCTCTGTCTCTCTCTGTCCCAAAAATAAATAAACGTTGGGAAAAAAAATTTTTTAAAATAGGTAAAACATTAAAAAAAAAAAAAAAAAGATCCTGTGTCCCAATACAGTCCCCTCTCTAGGTGCTCTGGGTCAGGGCTTGAACATACGGATTTTGAAGAGAAACAATTCAGGCCATACAGTGTCCTTTGAAGCCAGAAGTCTTAAATCTTGATTAAATGTATCTATTTTGTCTTACTTGCTCATGTGTTTGGCGTCATCTCTAAGAATGTTTTGCCAAATCCAAGGTCATGAAGATGCTGGGATCTTCAGCCTAAAGAGCTTCCTTCTGAATTTTTGCAGGGCAGCTGCGCTAGAAGCAGATTCTTTCAGTTTTTGCTTCTCTGGGAAAGTCCGTATTTCACCCTCACCCTCGAATGACGGCTTTGCTTGGGTACAGGATTCTCAATGGCCACCTCTCCCGAGCACTTTGAACACGTTTCCCCACGGCACTCTGGCCTGCGCTGCTTCTGCTGAGACGTTAGCCTGATCCGAGTCACTTTGCGAGGACACGCTGCTTCTGCCTGCCCGGGGTTGGGGTAGGGGGTGGGGCGGCTCTGCATTTAGCCTGCTTGCGATCCGTGGAGCTCCCGGGATGTGCAGGTCACTGCATTTCCATAGATTTGGTGACTTTTCAGCCCTTATTTATTTCTAAAAGCGTGTGTCTCCTCCTCCCTCTCCCAGCTCCTTCCGGCACTGGCGTTTGACAAACTCGCCCCACGCTTTTCACACTCTCCTCGGTCCCCCTTCTCTCTTCTCGGCATAATCTTCTAGTTCACCAGTTCATTCTTCTGACGGTTCACATCTTACTGTGGAGCTCCTCCCGTGATATCTACTTGTACTTTTCAACTCCAAAATCTCCATGTGGTTGTTTTAAAAAGTTTCTCCTTGTTGATATTCTCCGTTCGATGCAATGGATTTGTCATCGCACCTTTCACCTCTTCCCTCTGCCTCTGGTTCCGTGAGCACATCGGTGACGCTCCTTTGAAAAATCCGACACTGGGGCCTCTCAAACGCAGTTTCTGTTGCCTGGTTTTTTTCTGCTGTGTGGATCATACTTTACTGTGTCTTTGCCTGGCATGATTTTTTCATTGGAAACTGGGCATTTTACATAGTACACTGTAGCAGCCCTGGGTAATACCCCCCCCCCCCCCGCTTTTTTTCAGGGCTACTGTTATTTGCCCATTTGTTTAGTGATTGGCCGGACTCTTTTGGTGGAGTATAGCCTTGCCCTCCCCACACACCCAGACACACACAGAGCTGAGCCCCTGACGCTGCCCCTCCGGAGGCACAGTTTGGGGACGCCCACGGTCTGAATGGCCTCCCGTTTTCCTTCACTACCACCCGCACGGTTCCGGAGAACCCCTCGAAAGTGGAACTTCTCCCTACCGTGTTACAAATGAAGCCTGTGCAAGAAACGAGCTGCTCTGGGAGCCCGCTTCTGCCCCCAGGCAAAACCTCCGAGCAGGGGCGGGGAGTTGGGAATGGGGGCTTTGGTGACTCCCGTCCTCTGAGCTGAGGGCGGGGCGCGGAGCGACCCCACAAGCCCAGGGACAGGGCGACCCTCTCCTCAAGCGTACTCCCCCAGGGGGAGCCCCGTGGCGCTGGGCAGTGGAGGGGCTCCTCCTCTCGCCTTTGTAAGCGAAACTTCCTCCATTTTCTTGAAGAGATGTTCCATTTGCAGTTTGCCCCGGGGCCCGTTTGCAGAGGCTTCAGTGACGTTTCCCAGCGGCCGCCGTGGGCAGAGCTCCTCGCCCCGCCCCCGATCTGGAAGCCAGCCGCCTCCGCCTCCGGCGGGATCGGGGACCGTCCGGCACAGGAACCGTCCCCCCCCCCCCCCCCGCCCCCATCGGCGGCGCTCCGGCGGGGGTCGGGGTCCGGGGTCCGGCCGGGAAGGGCGGCCCGGGTGTGACCCCCGCCCCCTCTCCTCCGCAGGGCGAGTGCTCCCCCAAGTGCCGCAGCCTGTTCGTGCTGGAGACGGTGTGCGTGGCCTGGTTCTCCTTCGAGTTCCTGCTGCGCTCGCTGCGCGCCGAGAGCAAGTGCGCCTTCCTGCGGACGCCGCTCAACATCATCGACATCCTGGCCATCCTGCCCTTCTACGTGTCGCTGCTCGCGGGGCTGGCGGCGGGCGGCGCGGGCGCGGGCGCGGGCGGCGCGGCGCTG